AGGTGAAATTCTACAGTACTTCACCTACAACTTTATCTATGTTCAAAGTTTATCACACGGTCAATGATGTCTAATAATATTAGAATTTTAATATTTGTTTTACAAATCATAATGATATGAAATTTTGTAGGTATGTGCATCTTAGTTAGATGAACATGAATAAAATATAAAACAAATAATTTGAATGATAAATTATGCAAAATCCCCTATAACATTTCAGGGGTAATTTTGATATTTTATTGATGATTATTATTTTTTTAATATTTTATTTTGGTGCAACTTGGTCATATGTACACATGCTCTAAATTTTAGATAAATCTGATTAATAAAAAAATTATAAAAATTCAAATACTATTAGACAACAGTGACCGTATGATGTATTTTGGACGGTGGTGATGTGTAGGTGAAGTTCTAGAGTACTTCACCTATAGGCATTTTAAGTTTGAATAAATTTTTTTTTTTTTTTTGGTTCAGGGTAGTTTTGGCTGGGCTGGCCATAAAAACTAGGACTTAAGCTAAAAAATGTGGTTTGAGAGCCGAATCGTGTTGGGCTTGGGCTTGAGCTACAATAGGGCTGGCTGATTTGGCCTAGCCCTGCCCTTTTTTTTTTTTTTGAACTTATGTTTTCCTTACTTCTTTGATTGCAGTGGCCATGCCTCATTGACCTAAGGCGAGACCTAGCCTTAGTCTGGTTCGATCGGGCCAGGCCAGGCTCAAGAAGACCTACAGGTGCGCCCTTCGTGAGCCCTAGTGCTAACCTCATCTAGCGTATTAATGTCAGCCTCCTGTCTGCCTATCACCCAAAAGCAAAGTGCATCGTTGGGGGCATTTAAAGGTTCAATACCTTGTTGTGGGGATTACAGGTGTTGAAAAAGAGATTTGAAAGTGTGCGGTGTATTGTGGAAGGAGATCCTCTCAATGTGATTAATTGGTATAAGAGGAATTGGCGGCTTCCTCGGGAACTCAAATCTTCTATAGATGGAAATCACGGACTTATTTGCTCGTTTATGAGTTGATTGCCATCACGTTTATAAGGAGGGGATCATGTTGCTGATGTCTTAGTCAAACATGGAGTTGTTGGTGCTCACTTTGTAATTAGAGAATCTCTTCGGTTGTAACGGTAATGCTTTTTTTTTTTTAATTATTATTATTATTATTATTAGTAATAAAAACTTATGATCTTGTCAAAAACAAAAAAGGTCTAAAATTGGCTTGACTCAAGCTGAATGGGTCCTAAACTTGATAAGACAAGGTGGGTGGTAAGACAAGTTGGGCCAGGACAGTCGGGCCTTGACCCAACTCGATAATCGAGCGCATTGAATCAGTTTTGGATTAAAACATAAGAAATAAACTATAGTTTGTATTTTTCTTTTTTGGGTGAATAAGTGGGAAGAAAGCCCTTACCCTGATACAAATTGAGCATAGGATGTAGTGTTGCAAATCGTCAAGCACTAACCAATTAAACATAGACTCTTTTCCTAACTATATTTTGTGTTTTGTAGTATTGAAATTTGTAGAATACACCAAATTGGGTATGGTCCGACCCTGCCTAACCTATTTAGGCCCCTAACAGACCCGGACCTGGACCTAGACCTGATGCATTTGGACCTAGACATGACTTGACCCAACCAAACTATCGGGTCTAAACATCTAGATCCCAGCCTGAACCATCGGTTCCAGAAGTTGGACCCTGGCCAACATCGGGCCTTGACCCGATTGCCGGCCTACTAGGCTTTCATCGCAAACCTTCTGGTCTAAGTAGATGAGGAGGGGCTCCAAATCACCACTCATGTCCCTTGCTAACTACAAAACAAACCGTTGCCCTTACGTGTGGGGGAAACAAACAAATCCCACTTAGGCATAGCTGGTGGAGGCCATATATATTTTAATAATAATGGCAACGAAAGTTGATTGGTTATCGTTGCTGTCACATTTCAATAAATGGAGAGAGGTCCCACACATCACCTTTGTGGCCCAAAATGCTCTTGGTAGCGTCACTTTGATATTAGCCCTTCCCTCAACTCTGTACACCTTAGCAGTAATGATTAACACACCATTATCCAAACTGGTAACATAAAAAGTTTCTATTCACTTTGAAAATTGATTGGAACATCCATCCAAACGAATTATATGCTTGTTCTTTCTTTTTTTTTTTTTTCTTTTTCTTTTTTTTTCTTTCTTTTTTTTTTTTTAAATGGTGTACTATGTAAACCCCACTACTACCCTCTTCACCCAAACTCACGTGCGTGTTGGCCTCTTTGGGTGGATTTAATCGTTGCTAAGAACTATATCATTATAAACTGGGTGAGCTTTGTATAAGGTGTTCATTTTGTATAAGCAAGCGCACATCAAACTTTGGTATCGAAAACCTTACAGTATGTTGAAAATCTTTGCTCAATAAAAAAAGTATAGATCTAGCAGATAATAAATACTTGCAAAACCTGAAAATAAATAGTAAAGATAATTTGTTGTAAAATACACAATTTTTAAGATATATATTTGAAATTGTTTTTCCCTTTATATCTATACATCTCGAGGTGATGATGATCAATTTCATAATTTTTTAACTTCATGACACTCTTTTTTACTGGATATTTGAGGTGCACCTCACTTCTATAGTATAAAGTTGTAATGTTATATTCAATTTTTCCTTATAATAGGGACGAGGTTTCCATGCGGGCATGTGGGCACAAGCCCACCACTGTCAAAAAATTATACCATAATACCTGTTTGACATCAACATGACATTAACAGCTCATCAAACGAATAATATCAAGAATAGATATTTGATGGAGTAGAGGGGAATGACACTTAGCTATGGAGTACTAACTTGGCAACTCATGTTTTCTTAATTCATGTAATGCTTTTTATTTATATAAAGAGATTATTTACTTTTAATATAAGGAGGTCACAAATCACTATTAGTCATCAGATTTTATATCTAGTGGTTGTGAATATACTATTGAGTCGATCAAAATTTAAAAGAAATTTTTTCGAACTTTGTAACAGTTTAAGTCATCCAATTTGACATCTAATGACTAGTAGAAATTTTGACCACCAATTGGCCAACTTGTAAATAGAATGGCACGGCCTCTATCTCTCTATGGTTGTGAGAGTAAGTACCTCTTTACATTGGAGGTGCCGTGCATTCTTAGCTTTTCATCAAGCCTGGCCTTAGCTTGCTTCACCTCTACTGTAAGTTTACTGTGCTCAGGCAGCTCCAGTCCTTGTTTGTTCCCAATTCGTTGCTTAAAATAAAAAACAAAAATTACTGAATGTTACATGAAGCAAAATCGCCCATGAAATACAGTTAACATATAAATTCATATGTACGATATAGAAACAAGATACATTAATGTGGTCTATTTTTAGGACCAACTTGAAGGTCATATAACCATGCGCACCTTCGTAGTACAACAGTACATTTTTAATAGGCGAGAACACAAGGGACTAAAAATAAATAGAGGAAAATTTTTATATAAGATTGATGCTCTAAACAATCAAATTAAGATGTACCTTAAAAATTCATTAAAAAGGGCTGTTTCAATGTTGAGAAACCCTCAAATAGATCATCTGGACCTCGAGATGTATGGATGTGGCAAAAAAAAGGTTTCAAGTATGAGAAATAGTCTATCTTGTAATGATTTATCTAATAGGTAAATATTTAATATTTTAAAGTGTTTATAGATCTGCTCGATCTACACATCTTTTGAAACTTTAAACATTACAATTAGAGATGAAAATAAATTTTAGGCCATCACAAAGATTTTTGCAGTTGAAAAATATCTTTCGACACTATTTATCGATACACCTAACTTTGATTGTTTAGGGCCACAACTTTATAGAAACTGCACCCAATAAATAAAAGACCCGGTTTCTATGCAGTTAAGCCCGCATATATAGAAATGTGAGCCTTTTAAAAAGTCTATGTTTAGATGGATTTTAAGACTTAATTTTTAAGGACGTGTAATCACTAACATGGAGATCATGAATATGAAAAATAAATAAATTTTAAAAACAAAAAATAATAATTCTAGTAGAAAAACATTTGGACCATAGTTTCTATTGTTTTTAGACGGAACACCTACTTGCATCCATCGTTCAGATGGATGCTTTACACTTTCTGGACCGCAGTCCAGCCTGCATGAAACAATTTTCCATGAACAAATCCATTTTTTTGTTGGGGTTGTGTACTTACTGAATCATGAGAGGACTCATAGGAGGCCGTGTGGTATAAGCAAAAGGAAGAACGCCTGGTTCTCAGTCCTCTACTTTGGTGTTGAGAATTATCAGATCCAGCTTGATGAATTCGCCTCCTCCTTGCACATTCAACACCAGGGAGCATTCCAGCCATAGTTTCTTCACCAAGAAATAGAAAAAGAATGAAATAATTGAGACAAAATGGGGAACTAGAGATCTTGATCTTTATTTCTCAAATTGTTTGCTGGAGATTCCCATTTTCTCCTCCCTCCAACTCTTACCTTTAGAAAAATAGGGGTCTGTTACCTGTGGTTTTACCCCAGAAACTCATCACACCTGAGGCATGGTAAACAGTTTCTCCAACTAACAACCCAAAACTACAAGCGTATGTACCACATTTAACTGTTTTAAAAGTAGGACTGCAATGTTTCTATAGAGAGAGAGAGAGCCACAACAATAATTCTTCTTTAGTTGCGGTGCCCTGTTATTTCGAGGAAGAAGACATGATGAAGTTATAAACAAGAAGAGGATCGAAACATGTCCCCACAAAGTCAAATCAGTCTCACTATGTTGCTTCCACAGTAAAGTTTTAGAAATTTACTTCCATATCATAAGTAAAGGGGGGTATTACATGGGTGTCATATGTCTTCAAATTTTACAAGGTTAATCCCTCGCAGTGTTAATTTTTTTGGGTCTAATTTTGCCGTACACTTTGATGTTCCAAACATCCGATATTGTTTTATTTTATTTTTTAAATTTGTTGAAGCTTAGGGATGTTTATATTGGGTAGGGGAGGGGGAATGATGCGAAACAATCTCAGATCGATCTGATGTTTCTAGCATTGGATTGCAGATTGCCTTAGATGGGCAGTTTGATGTTGCTAACATCGCACTGCACTTCATGTAGCAATTATCATTCTCTTTTTTCGTTCAGACCGATGTAAAGGAATACCAGATGGGTTATCATTGTATTTTTTGCAGTACGATGTTTGAAATATCAGACAACCTGTTAGTGCTGTGTTTTACAAGTTTGCCCCTAGTATGGCCTGAAATAGGCCTTTATTTACCCCCGTGAAAAATTCTCTTTTCTTTCTCTCTCTTCTCACTGCTGGCCTCGCTGGAGAACACGATTTTCGGTGGCTCCTCTTCCCCTCTCTTTGGGGATCTCATTTTGTGGTCAATTTCTTGAAGCCCCACAGTTCTACAACTCCCCAGAATGCACTTCTCTGGCCAGCATGAACTAGTTTTGAAAAGAGACAAATTTACGAACTCGAACTGATGCCATTTCTGCTGGTTTTCGCAGGGAGAATTGTGTGGGTTGAGCATAGGTGGAACCAACATGAGCTGGTGGGCAACAATTTGAGGAGTTTGTGCAGGGATTTGCACCCTGGGAAGGTGAGCTTGATGAGTTGGAGTGGGAAGGGGAAGCCATGGGGGTGGGTTTGCTGCAATGGAGTGGGAAGGGGAAGCCAAGGGCAAGGCTCGACGCAGGAGCAAATGTGGAGTTTGGAGTCCAAAGAGAGAATCAACACATGTTATGATTGTTGAACTTTTGAGGGGAAGAGATGAACCTGCCGAAGTCCTAGGAATCAAAAGCAATGTTGTAAGACTGTGGATTGAAGAGATCAGGTTTTATCAGAACAATTGAAAACTACGTGTTTTCTCTGTGTTCTTCTCCATAGTCATGAAACCCTTCTTAAAAAGGGATGAGAGGAAGCCGTTCTCCAACGTTCAAATTTTCTCCTAGAATATCTAAGAACGTGACCCTCTTTTCCTAGGAGGTGAGTAGTTATCTTCTACTGTTGGATAAAGGCATATTCTCTATGTTGGATAAAGGTATATTCTCTATCTAAGAAGCCTTTTTAGTGATAAATAGTAAAATGTATTATTAAGATAAAGAGAGAGAAATATGACACGTTTGAGGCCCCATGGCCATCCACACGTACCAACATCTCTCACTTGGCCATAAGGGCCAGATATATTGAAATATTATAAAGTTTACAGCATGTACTGGGTTTAACATTTATGAGCATATCCTTGTCATAAGGTTTTTCACGTTGCTGCGGTTATATATCTCAAAACAAAAAATATCAAAAGTCATGTCATGGAGTTTTTCACATTAATGTGGCTTTTTCTTTCATGACCAAGACATCAAAGAAAAATATCCCATTTGGGAGTTCCTGACTTAAATATTTCTAAGTCCCATTAAAACTACATGCTTTGATAATATTTTTGTACTTAATCCCTTTGTTAAAAGGTCTGCAATCATATCTAAAGATGGCAAATAACTTACAGTTGTTTCAATTTTTTCAATAAAATCATAAATGTACAGATAATCAATTTCAACGTGCTTACCTATAGAACTATAGACACCATTTTTAATTGATGAGATGACAGCCTGATTATCAAAAAAAAATTTAACAGGTTTGTCAGCTATATCCAACTTCAAATCATTTATGAAGCCTTTAATTCAGACGACATACGTTGTAGCAATGCTACATGAAATATACTCGGCTTCCATAGTCTACCGAGCTACACAACTTATTTCTTGCTAGACTAAGAAACACATCCACCTCTAAAGAGGAATACAAGTCTTGCAGTTGATTTTCTATCATCTGGGTCTCCTACAAAATCTGCATCAGAGTATCTGTTAACCTCTAAATTATCAGCTTAAAAACACAACTTGTAATTTTTAGTTTTTTTAATATATTTGAATATCTTTTTTACGACTTGCCAATGAGCCATCTCATAATTACTATGAAATATACTCACAACACCATATGTATGACTCAAATCAAGTATTTTACATAGCATGAAATAATTTATACATCCTACAACTTGAGCATATGAAATTCTTTACATTTCATCTTTATCATTGTCATTTAATGGACACATTTTGTTTGATAATTTCAAGCCTTTACAAACAGGTGTATATATGGGCTTGCAATTTTACATCTTAAATATCTATAAATAATTTCTAAATAATTTCCTTGAGATAAACATAGAAGTCTTGAACTTCTATCTCTTATTATCTTACTGCCCAATACATATGAGGCTTCTCTCATATCTTTCATCTCAAAATGAGAACTTAGCCATGACTTGGTATGGTTAATCCTGCCAATATCATTACTGGTTATCAAAATATTATCTATATAAAGTGATAATATGAGAAAATTCCCCCCACTATTCTAGACATATGTACAATGGTCTAACCTATTGGCTACATAACCAATTTCAGTGATTGCATTATAAAAAGTAAAGTACTACTGTCTAGAAGGCTGTTTTAGATCATATAAAGATTTATTAAGTTTGTATATTGTCTTCTTAGCCATTAATTACATATCTTTCTGGTTGTTTCATGTATATATCTTCTTTTAATTCTCCATTTAAGAAAGTTGTTTTGACATCCATCTGAAACAATTCTAGATTATAATATGCAACTAATGCTAAGATGATCTTAATAGATGAAAATTTTGCTATTGGAGAATAAGTTTTTAGATAATCTATGCCTTCCCTTTGGGTAAATCCTTTAGTTACCAACCTAGCTTTATATTTATCAATGGATCCATTGGTAACTAAATCCTTTAGTTACCAACCTAGCATTAAGTTTTTCCTTTAGGACTCATTTACAACCAAGACTTTTCTATCTTTAGGGAGGTAAAACAACTCCCAAACTTGATTTCTTTTAATATAATCAAGTTCATCATCTATGGTTTGAGTCCGCTCAGCTGAGTCATGTGAGCTAATGGCTTCTCTGTAGCTTTGAGGTCCATCTATTGAATCTTCACTCATTGAAGAATAATTATCTTTATTCATAAATGCATAAGATCCTTCTAAAGTCGTAAGTAAGGCTATAGTTCTTTTAGGCATATATGATATACTTGGTTTAATTGAATCATTCTCACCAATTGTAGAGGGAGACTGAGAAATAGGGTCTTGCAGACTCTTATCTTTATCATTTTCATGTAAGTCAATAGGCTTACTTAAAATACTGTCATCATCCATATTTTCTAAGAAATGAGCATCACAGCTCTTTATTAAGGATCTAGTATTATGGTTATAGAATTTTTTGAATAACTTATAAAAAAATATTTTATATTTTTATTTTGTAATGTATCTCTATTTTGTGGCGGTATAAGCATATGTGCCCAAGAACCTCAAACTTTCAAGATAGCAAGGTCAGGTTTCCTACCTATCCATAATTCATATGGGGTCAAGTCTCTAAATTTAGTTGGAGCACGATTAATAATATATATTGCAGTGTTGAGAGCCTCACCCCAAAGATGATGTGATAAGTTTGAATGGCTCATCATGAACCTAATCATGTCCATTAGAGTTCTATTTTTTCTTTCAGCTACACCATTTTATTGTGGTGTATATGGCATGGTGGTTTGGTGAATTATACCATGCTCCTTACAAAATTCTGCAAATAAGGTGGAGCAATATTCACCTCCCCTATTTGTCCGAAGAATTTTAATATGTCTACCTAACTGATTTTCTACCTCAGTTTTATATTCTTTAAATGTTTTTAAAGCATCTGATTTTTTACTAATTAGGTATACATATCCATAATGTGAATAATCATCTATAAATGTTATAAAATATTTCATATTTCTATGTGCTTTTACATTTAATGGGCCACATATATCAGAGTGAACAATACGAAGTAGTACACTAGACTTTTTCTTTTTAGAGATAGGTTTCTTAGTTAATTTACCAGAAATACATGGATCGCATATTTTGAATACAATTTCTCCTACATTGGAGAGCAAGCCTCTTTTAACCATGTAATTTATTTTATTTTTATTTATATGTTCTAATCTTAAATGCCATAAATATGAATCATCCAAACACAAAAAATCATCAAAAGAGGCATTAGAATAACTAGAAAGAGATGAACTTTAATTAATATTCAATCGGTACAAATTATCAACTTTAGTACCATACTCTAATGCTCTAGAATGCTTCCCAATGGTAACCGGACTAGACTTGAACTTTATTTCATAAACCTTATCATCTAGCCTAGGAATAGAAATCAAGTTGCGCCTCATATTAGGCGTATACAAAGTCTAAGTCAATAGGAGATTCGTTCCGCCTGGTAAACACAGCTTGAAAGCACCGACACCAAGTACATCACAGTAGGTGTCATTTTTCATATAAATCTGCTGGTTTCCAGCTGCAATCTCCTTCAACTCTATGAATCCATCCTTGGTCCTCGAGACATGTCGAGCGAAAACTGAGTCAATCCACCAATTTCTTAGGTCATGGTAGACAATAGTGATTCTAGAACTACGCAGATCAAATCTTTTCTTTTATTTTGATTATTTCGAGTATTGGATTTATTCTGATTCTTATTTTTGTTTTTCAGCTTGGGAAAATTAAACTTGATGTACCCAATTTTCTTACAATAAAAATAGGTATTCTCAACCTTATTATTTTTTTCATTTTTAAATTTTCTCCTATTTCCCTTATGACTACTATTATTCTGATTATTGT